GACCCCGGATAGGCGGAAGAAAATGGATGGATGGATGGATTTTAAGGGACATTGGGTAAGCCTCCACACAGTGCAGGCACACGGCAATGCAAACACGGGGAAAACAATCCCATCTAGCATCTTATCAGCTGGATATCTGGGAGCTTTGATCCACACCGGGCTTTATTCCYGTCTCTGCGGCTCAGGAGGACGACAGTGGGGGCTCTCCCTCTGAAAGCAWCTGAATGCTAAAAAGCAGYGAGTCAGGGGAGCAGTCTTTTTCTTTTTTATTTTGCCGCATGGAGTCATGGTGGAGTGGGTAATTCAGCTGTGTGGAAAGTGTTCTATCAGGAGGCAGACACGGAGCCAGCCCGCGTGCCATCTTCCCTCTTAGATTCAAGCCCTAGATGCTGCATTCAATCCAGATTACAGGAACCGGAGAATCTGTCATCTAAGTGAAAAGGAAATGTAGAAATTTATCACCACAGCTGGTTTAAGCTTTATTCAAGATGGCCGCCAYGGCAAACAGAAAACTGAGGATAAATCTGTTGGTTTTACAGGTAAAACCTGACGTGTTAGAGTTTGAGAGCCAGTGTTTAATCCACCTTCCATACTTTTTTTTGCCACTTCAGTAGAAAACAAAACTGAATGTTAGTTTCCACCTTCCATACTTTAAAATATTAGGAACTAAGAATCCTTCAAACTTAAAGCATGAAAACAAGCAAATGTCAGAGAGTCAGCTGCCTGCTGGGAGCAGAAGCTCAGCAGCTAATGCAACACTTCCTGTTCACGCCTCGTCTCGTCTACAAACTAATGTCCACCATAACAACCAATTTCTGTGGTGTGAACTGATTCCAGGGGTCTAAGCGGTGGCATATGCTTCACCAAATTAGGGGCTTGTTAGAGCGTGTGAACCTGTTCCGCTTCCCCTGATTCCCCCGGATGGATGGAGATTTCCCCGAGGACAGGAAGTTAAAGCATCTCCACAACTCCTCCAGCTTCTCCTCCGCTGCAGGACTCCTCCTCGGCTCAAGTCTCTTCGTCTTATTGTGTAACCCTGAGAGGATTCTTTGAATCAGACACCTGGAAGATACCTGTTAATCTGTGACATTTCCTCAGCTTTAAACTGAAGACTCTGAGTTTATTCAGCAGCTGAGAACTTTACATGATGAAGCAACAAGATGGATTTATTAATGAAGCAACAGTAAGTCATCCTCTCTCTCTCTCTCTCTCTCTCTCTCTCTCTCTCTCTCTCTCTCTCTCTCTCTCTCTCTCTCTGTGTGTGTGTGGTGTCCTCTGTCAGCCTAGACGTTGACAGACAGGTGCCTCCTGTCGCGGTGGCAACGGTCGTCTCGTTCTCAGAGAACATGTAATCAACTGACATGTTATCCTCTCTCTCTCTCTCTCTCTCTCTCTCTCTCTCTCTCTCTCTCTCTCTCTC